CCAGTAGCCGGAGTTACAGGCATGCGCTACCATGCCCGGCTGATTTTTTGATTTATTTTATAGATGAGGTCTCGCTGCCCAGGTGGGTCTCGAACCCGTGAGCTCAGGCAATCCACTCACCTCAGCCTCCCAAAGGCGCGGGATTACAGGCTGAGCCACCGAGCCCGGCTTGCACAGTATTTTTATTCTTAGTTTTGCAGGTAGAAAAAAACCCCTGAGCTTCATGGACTTTATTTTTTATTTGTTTATTTTTTTGAGTCGAGGTCTCACTCTGTCACCCAGGCTGGAGTGTGGTGGCATGATCATGGATCACCACATCCTCAACTTCTTGGGCAGGTGATCCTTCTACCTCAGTCTCCTGAGTAGCTCAGACTACAGGCATGTTCCACCACACTCAGCTAATTTTTTTTCAAATTTTTTATTTTAAAAATGTGAGGTATAATTCAGGGTTAGGTACAGATGTTCATTATGCAGTGCTAATTTTTTAATTTATTTTTTCTGGAGGTGAGGTATTGCTATTTTGCCAAGGCTGGTCTCAAACTCCTGGATGCAAGCTACTCAGCCTCCCAAAGGGCTGGAGAGTTACACACATGAGCCACCGTGCCCAGCCATGGACTTCAGATGCTTTCCCCAAGTTTACACAGTTACCAAGTTGTTCAGCCTGGCGCAGGAGACATACTTTTACTTCTGATTTTCAACCGAGGCTAGTGCTCCTTTGTTTACATTTTTTTGAGTTCTGGATTGAAGAACTGAGATGATAAAGGATGATTATTTTTCTTATCCTGACCCTGGAATCTCCATACTGTGTGTGTGTGTGTGTGTGTTTACGTTTACTTAGTTAGCTATTAGCCTGTAAACTTTTTTTTTTTTTTTTTGGAGTTGGAGTCTCAGCCTTGACCTGCTAGGCTCCAGCTATCCTTCTGCCTCAGGCTTCTAAGTAGCTGGAACTACAGGCGCGCACTACCACCCTGGCTAGTTTTTTTTGATTTATTGTAGAGATGAGGTCTCACCAAGTTGCCCAGGTGGGTCTCGAACCCGCGGGGTCAGG